TCACTTTGCACTACATTGTCTGTAGATTCTTAATAATTAACCTGAAGAAGGCGACTATCTATCCTTACGCGGGAGAAATTTGCCGATCAAGAACAAAGTAAACGGTTGGTAGGGTCGTTTCACTTACTTGAAAGAAACCCTACGGAGTATCAGGTATTAGGTTCCGATAATTAGTTTGGTCGTTGCTAACTGTGACGAAAAGGTTGTCACCTTCAGTTTTCCTCTGAACTAGCCCAATTATACTCCGCCGGTTAAGGATATTGGTGATGCCTTATTAGACTGCAGCTGTATCAACTAGTATCAAGCAAGGGATGGATAGGCTTCGAATCAGAAGACATAAAGAGATACCGCATTAATTTACCTTTTCAAAACAAGGTTTAGTTATAGATTCACATGTGTATTTCATGAATTGAATTTAAAACGGGAACAAGTACCAAAACCGAGGATCATAGAAAACCAAATTTTAATACTGGGCAAAGGTGTTTAGCTTACTCTTGCATCTCAAGTGGAAAATTACTAATTTCCACACCGCATTCGAGTGGGATCTTTATGTGAACATTGCAAATCCTGTCGATCGAGCAATTGCATTCGATCCAAAATAAGCAGTGCAGAGCTAGTAAAACTCTGCCGCAATAGAATTTCAATCAATAGGTTAATGATGGACTAGAAAAAACCCGAGAAACCTGTGGGTCAGAACCGCATTTAAGCGCGCGTGTTTCGAACGGTTTGTGGATCCATTATGATGTGACCCACTTTCCTACCCGAACGACTGAGGTCAGTTACCGCTAGGTTCGTTTCAAGAACACTCGACCCCGTGCCAAGGACAGTGTCCCCGGTGGGACGAACATTCAGATCCCACCCCACGCCTGAAATCTCCATTCGAGCTCGTCAGCTCATTCACAAGGGCCCTATAAACCCATCGACAGAAGTATTGCATTACACTGAATTTTCGAATTATCTTCGCGACCAAATGCGCGTTCATCACCGTTTTTGAGAATATAGGCAATAACCGAAAGAAAAACCGACCTACGAAATTTAATCAGATTATCTTTTTATTTGAAGGAAAATTTACCGAAAAACTACTTTCACTGCAACAAGAGTATTGCATTTCGCGTGGGCTTCACACACCTAAATCGGTTCGAAAATGAGTAAGCTAGTCCTCTCGAATTTGCACTTCAGCCGGATAACAGACACTCCGGTGAGTCAAGGGTCACAGACTGGTGTAAGCCACGGTCATATGACATGTCGGCGTCAATGACCAAAAGCCCACGCCACTCTCAATGATCTTGAGGGAACAAAGACGTCCAAGTAGATCACTATAAGTCATTATCAATTAAGGTGCATTGAAAGAGATTGACTAATGACGGGAAATCCAGGACTGATAACATTTTATGATCAATGTCATCTCATTTGAGATCGTTGAACGATGTGACAGACTCAGCTCCAGTGAGGTGCAATATGTGTAGTGGAAACAACCGGAACCCGGTCATAAACGGACCAGATGCCATCAAAAGTTCCCGAGGAAAGATAAACGCAGGCTGCTACACATGGACTCAAACTTCGTTAGCATAAGAGATAAGGAGTATTTGATTTGAATGTTTCAGTGTGAACGAAAAAATCAACACTTAAAACAGTCCTCTGGATGATGAGAAGATATAAAACTTTAACAACTTTACAGACAGGAAAACTTTTACTGTGGGCTGGCACTTGTGTAACTCGGAAAAATGAATAAGATTTCGCCTACTTGAGTTACGAAAAGAAATTTTATTCAGATGCTTCCGAGGCCATTGGTGTGCGTTGCGGAAAGAAGTGCGACATTTCAGTCAGTGGATTAACGATCGAAACTCCATGACTGTTTACCTTCTCAAGCAAAAACAAACAAACTCACTCTACCACAAGGAATGCAAGATTCGGATGGATATATTCGCAGACTGGAGCGAAATGGACGACATTCTTTAGCATGACAGTGCCGCGGTTCATTACTCGTATCAACCTTACTACCGTTTATTTCGTGGTATCAGAACACATGGCTTGACCTACGTTCAGACCCAGACAAGAAGCCAACAGAAAATTTTAGGGTTATTCTTACTCTAACTGTGTTCCTAAACGAAAGTATTCACCCCACAAAACATAAATCAGAGAGTGGAATAATATGAGCCGTGATATTATTCGAAATCTACCCAGTGGAATTTTCAAGACGAATACACTTCGTTCAAAACTGGCTTCAATAGGTAAAGTCCATGAAGGCGGAGTGCAACATTTTTGTTGCGGGGAAGCTTTTTTGGTAGATTTTCGTTAAAATAAAGAATATAACTTGATTAAATTTCGCATCTCGGTTATTCTTTCGGCTGCTGTCTATATTCTCTAAAATGGTGATGACCGTGCATATTGGAGGGGAGATAATCGATGACCTAGTGTAATGCAAGAATTTTGTCGCAGGATTATGCTCAGAGAGAAACCAGTTCGTTCCGATTGGATGGGTGTTTATATGGTCTCAGTTCAATCGGTGAAGTGTAACGGCCAAATCACTAATCAAGTTTTCTGCACAGAACCCACGATCGAAACTACAAGATAACGTCATCGGCCATAGTTCGACTTGTTGTGATGATGGAACACCTGGTCGACCGATATACGGCGTTTGGGATTGTTTACAAATGACGAATCT